TCTCTCTCTCTCTCTCTCTCTCTCTCTCTCTCTCTCTCTCTCTCTCTCTCTCTCTCTCTCACTGTCGGTGTCTCTTGCTCCCCGTCATCCTTTCCACCACCCGACGCCAACTTCACGTACTTATGTGCGGCACTTCCCCCCTGGATAACTCCAACATCTACAGGCTAGCGGCACAATGATGTGATGCAAACAACCTTGGCAAAACTTTTGCTTCGGAATGGAGTTCCCCTTCCCTCAATTGCCCTATATACCTGGATGCATGGAAGTGGACCCCCGGGGGGAAGGCAACCACTCCATACAAGTCATCCACCGGAGTCGGGGAAGAAACTGAACGGACGAAACAGACCAAAAAAAAACCAAAAAATAAAAAAATTAAAAATAGGACAGCGGACTGCAAATTTCCAAAACGAACCAATAGGAAACAAAAGGCCCCCCTTCCAGTGCACGACATCTACCTCCTTCACCTGCCGATATCCAACAATGAAGTGTTCGAAAAATTGTCCCATCGAACCCCGATTGCAATCGCCATACCGTGAAAAGCGTCGTTAGAAATGCACAGACGTAGTGAACAAACCGCCGGTCCTGCCACCCGTGTGTGTGTATGTGTGTGTGTGTTTCACACACACACACACACAACAACAACAACTGGATGGCAAACCATTCCCTCACTTGCTTAAGGGATTCATGTCATCGCCCCCGTCCTCACGTCGTCCACCTCCTCCTCCCACACGCCTCGCCATCACCTCGACCAGAAGTTGCAACACAACGTTACCATCCTTCATTACACTGGCTACTGCACCGATTTGACTGATCATTTGCTGTGCACTTTCTACATTGGCCCTTGCAAGAGTCCCCGCCGCATTCCCGAGACCATCACAGAGAGTGCTAGTGGAGTCCTCCATGGAAAACCGTGAACCAGATCGTGAAGAGCTGCACCCTTCGTCCGCATATGTTTTCCCTGTGTCTATCCGAGGGAACTTCCTGCTGCTTTCGAAATCTTCCACCAGGGTGGTGGGGGAGGTTCCCTTCTCCAACCCCCCACTATTTGCACCAGGTAATGTGGACGACTCCATCGTGTTGTCGCACATGGTTGACCTCTTCCCCTGCACCCACGCCATCTCGTCTCACAACTCTTCCTAAAAAAGAAACGTTAAACCCTCCCTCTTCTTGTCCTCAGCCAGCATGTGCCAGAATGTCGGTTTCCCAGACCCCCTGCACTGGTCGTTGATCTACCTGTACTTGTTTTGCAGGTCGGCCCATTTCTTCACATCCTCCGTCGATTGGTGGTACCCATCCTCCTTCATCCGCCGCGCCACCCAATCATTCCTCAACAGTCGTCGCTAGTGTTTTTGTTTTGGTTGGACGGCCCCCACCATAGCGTCATTCTCTTGCATGTATCTTGCGAGTGTCAGACACTCCTGAAAAGACTATTGCTTTTTCTTTTGCTTCCCTCCTTCGTCGTCGTCCTCGGTATCGCCATCGCCAGCCGGGGACTGAGGTGCACCCTGTCGGCATGTGCCTTTCGCCCGATTGGGCGACCCCTCGTACTTGAAAAACCGGAGGTTGCAAGAGCTTATGCGTCATGGGGGGGGGCTGCCCTGCACACACTGTAGAGTGGGAAAAACTTCAATATCCGAGGCATCGCAGGACATGCTCACTGGATGCCCAGACATCGCTTGGGAAGGGTACCCATCCGCAGAAGGTCTGAAGCCATACGACGGAGTCGTGTTCGGAGGCATGTATGGAGCTGCATGCGATACTACGCTACCTCCGTCATCAAACCACGGTCGCTCGAAGTAACCGGCCATTCCATAGTCGCGACAGTCGTTGCGCTGTTCATAAAACGTCGCCTGTCCGGACATTGTCGAATACTTTTCTGTCGACTGCTCAACCCCCCTGTGCCAAACTCGCAACTGTAGACGACAACAACGACGGAGGAAGGGGGGTGTATCTCATAGAGGGCAAGTGCCCAAGCTCCGTTGGATCATGATTCCAAGTCGGGGCTGGCCCATAACAGCCCAGGTATGAAGTCACTGGCCGCATTTTGTCGATGTCCGAAGGAGACGATGAGAAACCCTCAACCAACCGACTCTCAAATCGTCCGCTGTGCTCTCTCTTGCCACCAACCCTCCTATGCGGATCGGTCGTGCTCATAGGCTCCTGTAACCACTAACGACAACTGACGTCATCTTCACCTTCCATCTCCCTATCCAGCAACCTCTCCTCACACACCATTGTACACACCTGTTTATATGGCTATCTATCTAGCTAGCTAGCTATCGATGTATGTATACAACTTTCTATACGTCGATACGTTTGTCTATGTATGTGCATTATTGACGCATTAGAAAGTACAAAGCGCCAAGACCTACAAACGTGAACACAACAACGTTGCAACAAACAACTCGAGAACATCCAACATGAGAACATCCAACATGAGAACAATAACCACGAACATCACGGGCCGAAGTGCACCCGCCTTGCAACCGTCGTAGTCGACCGAACTTTTAATGACAACAACTGTAGGACAACGACATCCACAACAGCAACACGGGCATGAAGACCTTCACAGCTGACGATGTGGCAACGAGTTGCACTCCAAGCCTTCACAGTTTCTGACGAGAACTGCCGAACGCTCCGTCAGACGGGCTGTGCACGTGTCAACACCCGACAATCAGGGGCACCCACCACTTCCCCGCCCGCTAAAACTGCCCAACTGAATCCTTCGTCCCACCTTCTGGACCGAGCGTGCACGCCATCACCGACGTTCTCCCTAGGCCGACCCAAAAAAAATGATGGGATGAAAGCCAACATCTTTTCACACAGTCTGCCCTCACAACGACTGTAAACACTTTGCGGTTGTGCCACACGTGAACGTGTCTGCCACGCCGTATTTGTGACACAATGGTTGGCCTGAGGGAGATCGAACGTTGGATTCAGGAGATAAAGCAGCTGACCCCTCCACTACGTACGTGCAATGTTCACGAACGACCCGTACAGAGTTACGGAGGCGGGCATTTGTTGCAGTCTGCCTGCGAACAGCCGAAAAAGGATATCGGTTTTTGCATGCAGCCAGCCTACGTGCTTGTTCTAGCAATACGGAAGCGGGCGACAAAAAATCGAAATAGCAGGGCCATTGGGGCGTAAGAGAATTTCAAAATGAAAAATGACGAGGACCTCTGCACCCCACACAGTGCCATGGTCCAGAGCCCAATGGTCAGCGTGCGACAACAACCCTTGTCCGGCCTTAGGGTCGCTGGACCGAACACTGGACCGGTACATGTTCGCTTTCCAAGCGCCAGACTTCCGTCCGAATGTGTCGGAGTACGCACCCCATTGGTAGGTAAACGAACCGACTTTTGAAAAACGAGAATTTAAGGTCACGTAGGAATAAGGGGGCCGCGGACCGAGTGAAAACAGTCGGTAAATGACTTCTGCAACACCAAAATCTTTCAGTGGGGTCTCGGAAGTTGCCTCGCAACTTCCGAAACCGTTTGCCACCGTCATGTGGGGTCCTACGCTTTCAGTGGTCGGGACCCACTAGAGACGTCTTACAACGACTTGCTGGTGTTTTCAATCATGTACGACCTTCCGTGACACATACAATCCATGGATGAAGATTGATATCCATGACCCGCCTGTTTGTGAAACCATGAAGTTTCGTGGCCGGGTTGTCAACCAATCCGCATTCTATAATGACTTACTTCTTTTGGTTTTTCAATTTGAATTTCATTGTTCACCCATTGCATTTTTGCCCATTTTTTAGGTAGGTTGTGATTTTGCAATGTTTCCTCGTTGCTTCCTTGTTGCTCTCAACCCTCCGCAGATAGGCAAAACAGAAACATGACCTTCAAAGGACGCAGTCCATTGGCCGACCGAAGAACCCATCCTAAAAAACAAGCGCAAAATTTGTTGCCTCATTGCCCATTGGATGAGAGGAGAATCCAGAGAATGCGTTGCTTTCGTTAATTAACAGAAACGAGGTCATAAAAATTACAAAAATCAGCAAAATCATTTTTTAATGCGAAAACAACGTCACACACGTTGTACAACGCTGCTTGTGGGTCCCGAACCCAGACATGCATAAATTGACGAATGGTAAAAAAAAGAAAAAAACAAGTTCACAAATTATCCTTCCCACGTTCAATAGCAATGAGTCTTGTTGGTTGGAAAGTCAATAACAGAGTTTTCTGTAGGCGAAAACCTGTAAGCTAAGTTGGTTAATGCTGTCAAAATTTCGAGTCGAATTGTGAGTCCCAGAACTCTTAATGTGTTTTATGCAATAAAACTTTCGATGTGTTAATTGAAAAAAATAATATGTTAAATTAAAAAAAAAAAAATCATTCCCCCGCACAAGGGTAGACCGACCTCTAATCATTGATGTAATGAAATTTGAATTTAAGGCAAAAAATAAAGTAAGAATAAAAAATTATATATGTTATCCTTACGCGGGGGCTATGTTAATCTACTCTGTATCATTCTAATTTTAACGGACGCCCTAAAGGTCTGCTGTTTATTTTTTGTTGGTTACTTTATCTTTTGTTACTGTATGTTATTTGTTTTTCTTTGATCGCTTATGAGACGCCTTTATAAGGATTTGTTGGCTTTGCGATAACACTTTTTAGAGCCTACCACACCAACGCTAACTTTTTAAATGTATGGGGATAAAAAAACTGGTTCAGATGCATTCAAAATATTGGTGTTTGGCGAGTGGTGTGGTAACCCTTTTTGGCATCACCCCACTGTAGTCGCCGCCTCTATATCGCACCTCTTCCGATTGTGTTGGAAGAAGTTGGTGTGCAACGTATAAACGAAGGATGGCGATGGAGACGACAAAGAGCAACAAAATTTCTTATTGGGGAACGCAACGTCCTCTTGCCCACTGTATTGGTCAGAATCACATACGCTTGTTTTTTACTGACCCTTCCTCCTCTTTTTCACTTTTTGTTAATCTTATTATTTTTCATCACAATTTCTATGTCCTCTAATTATATTATTCTTCACTTGCTATTTTGTATGTGTCATACATGCATCAAACAGAGTCACGTCACACAACTTCAAACGAGTATGAGATAAAACGAGTGCGAGAAAACTCAACCTCGAAAATTACGGTATCCTCAAACGAAACCGCACACCCAAGATCCTTCAAGCCTACCACGACCTCCGTCCACTACCGCAGCGCAGTAGCGTACGTACCGTAAGAGGAGGTCAGTGTCCAAACTCACACTGTATATAGTTCTCTGGAAATGCACATTCAAAATAAGAAAACGTGCTTCCCAGTACTAGGCCCCCAAACCGGGACTGTTTTGGGAGTACCAATAGACACAACGAGAGTACCGACTGGTACAACAAAAAAACGTAAGAAAGAGGCCAGTATCAGGACCAAACTTCAGGCATCCAATGATTGGCGACGATTCGACTCCTGACGGGTCTATCTTAGGCACACAAACACCATTCAGCTATCGAATATGAAGCACTAAGACGGAAAACACGAAAAAAAAAAAAAAAAAAAAAGACAAATCATCATAAAAACGAAATTACCACAGTACTGCCATTTGTTTGGCGAACAGCCCTGTTCGACCATCCAACAGAATGCAGCTATCCCAACGTGATCCCATTGCTAAGCCTCACCACCCTGTCATGAGTTCCAATGTCTGCTTCCACATAGCATCTCTCCTGAAAGCGAATCTACGCAACACTTTATCAAAAAAACTGGCAGGAACATCTTTAAGTCAGTTTGCGTTTGAGCGACAAAACTCTCCCAGAGATCGCATTCCCATAATCTTAAAGGCTTCCGAACGACCCAGGGCTCATGTGGCGTCAAAAGGAACAACCGAGTCACCGGGAAAAACTTGCAAGGGGTGATAGGAGGAGCAAGACCCTGAGAGACTTGCCCTATTGCCTAAACGGGACGAACGGTGATAAGAAAAGCGAGGCTCCGAGAAACCTGCCATATTACCAACCAGCCGTGCGCCAGGGCAAGTGTGTGATAAGAGTAGCAAGGCTCTGAGAAGCCTGCCTTATCGCAATAATGGCACAGACAGTGTGATAAGAGTAGCAAGGCTCCGAGAAGCCTGCTTTATCGCAATAATGACACGGACAGTGTGATAAGAGCAGCAAGGCTCCGAGAAGCCTGCCTTATCACAATAATGGCACGCACGGTGTGATAAGAGTAGCAA